AAAGAGTATGGCATTAGACTGCTTGAGGCGCAGATCTCTGGCAAAGGGATCTATGACCCTATTGAAAAAATGCTACCTAACAGAAGAACAAGCCAATGGACGAGGTCACTATGAACAAAGATCTTTTCAGAGACAAGATGGATGATCTAAGAATATTCTATGACCCAAACTCTCAGCAAAACCTCACCTATCCATTCGCTGATATAAGAAAATGCACAGTAGCCCCAGACACAGGTTTACTGCTCTCCCAAGTACATCACATTTTAAGAGGCCTCCGCAGAGGTGTAACCTTGCTGAGATTCTGGCATCAAAAATAATTGACCAAACAGACATTTGAAAATCTACATGATGGTAAAACACCACCCCAGGAGGTGATGTTAATGGAAACGGTGAAAGAATATCTAGAAGGACAAACTAGCATTGGGGGAGTAGCTGTGCTCTCCACAAATAAGAGAAATGATGTATGCTAGCAGGCAATGAGACAAGGAAGAGATCATGGCGTGGTTCTGCTTTGATTCTGCTCGAAGCACAGGCTGCAACTGGATTTATGATTGACCAGTTGAAAACAAGACATACAACGGTAGATGAAGCCATTAAACAAAAACTTGTAGGACCAGAATACCATGCAAAATTGCTTGCAGCAGCAGAACGCGCAGTTACTGGTTACAAGGACCCATACACTGGTGAAACCATTTCTCTTTTTCAAGCTCTGAAGAAGGAACTGATTGTGAAGGAGCATGGAATCCGCTTGCTTGAAGCACAAATCGCAACAGGTGGAATTATTGACCCCATATACAGTCATAGAGTTCCTGTGGATGTAGCATACAAGCGTGGCTTCTTTGATGAGGAAATGAATGCCATCCTTAAGGATCCTGAAGATGACACTAAAGGATTCTTTGACCAAACACAAAGGAAAATCTGACATATCTACAACTGCTTGATCATTGTGTCATTGACTCTTCTACAGGACTACACATTGTTGCCGCATTCAGGATACATCTGGGAGTCCGAATCACACATTCATTGGCTTTGACATCAAAAAAGTATTCAAGGGTGTCATGGTGAAAGTGACACGTGGAAAATACATTGGAATGACTGTTTCACTCTGGGAATTACTTATGTCTGAATACTTCACTGAGCAGCAAAGGCTAGACTTTATCCAGCAATACAGAACCAGAACAGTCACGATTGAATTTATAGTCACTAAAGTCCTGGAGATCATTGAGCATTCGGTGAAAACAACCAAAGTAGTTTTTGAAGGTATAGGAGGGAAAAAGTAAGTGCAAACCAGCTCTTTGAGGCCGATATCATCACAGAGCACGATCTAGAAGATCTCAGAGAAGGAAAAAAGACTGTCAAAGATGTTACGGAGAATGTATCTGTGCATACATATCTACAAGGCAAACCAAGCATTGCTGGAGTGCTGCTTCCTGACTCACAAGTGATGTCAATCTACCAAGCCCGACAAAAAGGGATTCTGAGGCCAGGAACATCACTTGTTCTTCTTGAAGCCCAGGCTGCAACAGGATACATAATTGACCCAATTGCTAATCTAAAGTTCTCTGTAGATGATGCAGTGAAGGCACGGTGGTAGGGGCGGATCTTCTGCAAAAACTATCCTCAGCAGAGAAGGCAGTGACAGGTTACCACGATCCATACACTGGCGAGAAAATCTCATTGTTCCAAGCAATGAAAAAAGATTTAATTGTGAAAGATCATGGTATACGTCTACTAGAGGCCCAGATTGCCACAGGGGCATTATTGATCCGGTAAATAGCCATCGCATTCCAGTTCATAATTGCTTATAAACGAGGATTCTTTGATAGTGAAATGAATCAGACCCTTTGTGATCCAACTGATGACAAAAAGGTTTCTTTGACCCAAACAGTCATGAAAACCTTACCTATATGCAGCTTATGTCAGGTGTGTCACTGACCAAACCACGAGCCTTTGCCTTTTGACAATCAAAGGGAACGACAGGAGAGTCAAGATAGGGGACAGCACCAAGAGAGGCCTTCAACACCACGTATGTATCTGTGAGATATGGCAGATTCAGCGGCAAGAAAGTGACACTCTGGATCTCATCAACTCAGAATATTTGTCTGAGGAGAAAAGACAGGAGCTGTTAAAATGTTACAAGTCAAAAGCAATCACAATTGAAAGAAATCATCACAACAGTTCTAGAGATCATTGAGCGCAAAGAAGTACAAAGAAATGCTGACCTCAGTGTAGATGGTCTCAGGGGAAAAGTTTCCATTTTGGAGCTACTGAATTTGGGGATAATAGATGAAAATCAATACAAAAATGTTATTGAGGGGAGGCTGACAATCAAAGATCTCATTGAGACAGGCACTTTGAGAAACTTCCTCAGCGGAACAAGCTGTATAGCAGGTGTAATATTAGAAAAGTCTAATCAGAAAATGAGCATCTACAAAGCCAGAAAAGAGAGGCCATCTTACCCCTGGCACTGCCTTGTGTCTTCTTGAAGCACAGGCTGCCACTGGGTTTATTATTGATCCAATACAAAACAAGAAACTCACCGTAGATGAGGCACTGAAGCAGAAATCATAGTTCCGAGATGTTGTATGAAAAACTCCTGGCTGCAGAGAAAGCAGTGACTGTTACAAAGACCCATACACAGGCAAGACACATATCACTTTTCGAAGCAATCAAGAAAGAACTTATTGTAAAGCAGCATGGCATTCGTCTGCTTGAAGCCCAGATTGCAACAGGTGGCATCATTGATCCTTAACATGTTTACATTTGCCACTTGATGTTGCTTTCCAGAAGGGTTATTTTGATTCAGACTTAAACCAGATACTTGCTGTGCAAAACCGATGACACTAAAGGATTTTTTGATCCCACCACACAAGAAAATCTTACTTACATGGAGATGATCAAACGATGCATAAAGGATCCCCATACTGGTCTTTTACTTCTTCCAGTTGCCGAAAAAGGGAAAACACAAGAGAAATCACAAAAAATCATCTCTGAGTTTGAGATTAAGGAAGAATTTGGGAAAAACAAAGTTGTCATTCCTGTTGGCCATTTGTCTGGAAAATCACTGTCTCTTTGGGAGATAATTCATTCTGTATACTTCACAGATGAACAGAGGCAGCAGTACTTTGAACAATTTTGTTTGGGCAAGATAAATATTAAGGATGTTGTCACCATGGTTACCACAACTATTCAAACACTAGAACAGAAAGAAGCAGTTCCTCAAACAACAATGGGCCTGAGAAAACCTGTTTCTGTGCAACAGCTACATGAGTCTGGAATCATTGACACCAGTACTTACAAAGCACTACAACTTGGTACGGAGACGCTTGGAAATGTGGTTAAACTTGAATCCGTTCAAAGGTATCTTAAGGGCACTGGAAGTATTGCTGGTGTGAAGCTTCATCCATCAGGAAAAGTGTTAACCTTAAACATGGCAAAAAGTGAAGGCTTACTCACTTCTGATGTAGCACTGTTGTTGCTTGAGGCTCAGGCAGCAACTGGATATGTTATCGATCCAATCAAAAACACACATCACTCAGTCATGGAGGCTGTCAGAGCTCAACTTATTGAACCAGAGATATTGGAGCACTTGCTATTGGCTGAAAGTGCTGTCACTGGCTTCACAGACCCATACACAGACGAGCAGATATGTTTATTTGAAGCAATGAATAAAGGTCTCATCCCTTGGAAACATGGACTGAACCTCTTAGATGCACAGCTTGCCACAGGGGGGATTATTGATCCAACAGGAAGCTATCGGTTGCCTGTTCAAAAAGCAATTATGAAAGGATGCTTAAATAAGGAGACGAGTGATCTTCTGGCAAATCTTAGTAAAAGTGAAAAAGGTTTTTCAGACCCCCAAACAAAAGAACCTCTTACCTACCATCAGCTCATGACGAAATGTGAAAAGAATTCAACAACCGGCATGCTGCTTCTCCCAATAACTGAAAAGAGTGCTGAAAGCTCAACCTTCAATGACAAACAAATAATGAATGTCTTCAAAGAAAAATCAGTGATCATCAATGCTGGAAAGTTTGCAGACAAACGTGTATCACTTTGGGATGTACTACACTCAGAGTATATATCTGAAGAGAAGAGAAACAAATTATTTGAACAATACAAACAAAAGAAACTATCAATAGAGGAGATAACAGAAATGGTGACAGCAATGACTATTGAGGCAAGCACAAAAAGACATTCCTTTAAAGGTCTCAGAAAACAAGTGTCAGCAAGTGACCTATTTGAAGCAAAAATCATCTCAAAACAAATGTTTACTAAGCTTATCAATGATGAAGTAGATGATGAAGATATAAACAATACAGAATCTATTCAAAAATACCTTGGCGCAACGAACTGTATTGCTGGTGTATATGTCCAGTCTACCAAACAGACCATGAGCATATTTGAAGCAAGAAATAAGGGACTTCTGACACCTGGAACGACTTTGGTTTTACTTGAGGCCCAGGCTGCCACTGGCTTCATGATTGACCCAGTAAAGAACAAAAAACTGTCAGTAGAGCAGGCGGTGACTGAAGGGATTGTTGGAACAGAATGGAAAAGCAAACTGCTGTCTGCAGAGCGTGCAGTTACTGGTTACACAGACCCCAACACAGGAAAAACATCTCCTTGTTCCAGGCTTAAAAAAAGACCTGATTGTCAAGGACCATGGTATTCGTCTGCTAGAAGCTCAGATTGCTACGGGGGGCATCATTGATCCTGTGCACAGCCATCGTGTCCCTGTGGAGGTGGCGTACCAAAGAGGGTACTTTGATGAGGAGATGAACAAGATCCTCTCTGATCCAGATGATGACACCAAGGGTTTCTTTGATCCCAACACACAGGAGAACCTCACATACTTGCAACTTGTGGAGAGGTGTGTTAAAGACCCCATCACTGGCCTGAGCCTCCTTGTGATTGTGAAAAAGGGAGAGTACTACTTTTTCATTGATGAACATACAAAGAATATCCTCAAGTCTGCAACCACAAACAAAGCAGGAGGTAAATTCCAAGGACAGCTGGTGACACTTTGGGATCTGTTGTATTCAAATTACATATCTGAGGAAAAGAGGAGAGAACTGGTGCAGCAGTTTAAGTCAGGTACAATAACTATTGAACAATTCTTGGAAATAGTTCTGACCTTAGTATCACAGAAATCAGGAACAACCACCCACACAATTACTACCACCACCACAGCAACAACAGAGACAACCCAAAACAACACCTTCCAAGGTATCAGAAAGGATGTGAGTGCTGATGAGCTGTTGCTATCCAAAGTCATCGATGAGAAAATGTACAAAGACCTAACAACTGGAAAAGTCACAGTTGATCATGTGAGTGAAATAGACTCTGTGCGAAAATACCTGAAAGGGACAAACTGCATTGCTGGTGTATTTGTGCAGTCTACCAAACAGACCATGAGCATAACCGAAGCCAAAAATAAGGGGCTTCTAACACCTGGAACGTCTTTGGTTTTACTTGAGGCCCAGGCTGCTACTGGCTTTATGATTGACCCAGTAAAGAACAAAAAACTGTCAGTAGAGCAGGCGGTGACTGAAGGGATTGTTGGAACAGAATGGAAAAGCAAACTGCTGTCTGCAGAGCGGGCAGTTACTGGTTACACAGACCCCAACACGGGAAAAACAATCTCCTTGTTCCAGGCCTTAAAAAAAGATCTGATTGTCAAGGACCATGGTATTCGTCTGCTAGAAGCTCAGATTGCTACAGGGGGCATCATTGATCCTGTGCACAGCCATCGTGTCCCTGTGGAGGTGGCTTACCAAAGAGGGTACTTTGATGAGGAGATGAACAAGGTCCTCTCTGATCCAGATGATGACACCAAGGGTTTCTTTGATCCCAACACACAGGAGAACCTCACATACTTGCAACTTGTGGAGAGGTGTGTTAAAGACCCCATCACTGGCCTGAGCCTGCTTGTGATCGTGAAAAAGGGAGAGTACTACTTTTTCATTGATGAACATACAAAGAATATCCTCAAGTCTGCAACCACAAACAAAGCAGGAGGTAAATTCCAAGGACAGCTGGTGACACTTTGGGATCTGTTGTATTCAAATTACATATCTGAGGAAAAGAGGAGAGAACTGGTGCAGCAGTTTAAGTCAGGTACAATAACTATTGAACAATTCTTAGAAATAGTTCTGACCTTAGTATCACAGAAATCAGGAACAAGCACCCACACAATTACTACCACCACCACAGCAACAACAGAGACAACCCAAAACAACACCTTCCAAGGTATCAGAAAGGATGTGAGTGCTGATGAGCTGTTGCTATCCAAAGTCATCGATGAGAAAATGTACAAAGACCTAACAACTGGAAAAGTCACAGTTGATCATGTGAGTGAAATAGACTCTGTGCGAAAATACCTGAAAGGGACAAACTGCATTGCTGGTGTATTTGTGCAGTCTACCAAACAGACCATGAGCATAACCGAAGCCAAAAATAAGGGGCTTCTAACACCTGGAACGTCTTTGGTTTTACTTGAGGCCCAGGCTGCTACTGGCTTTATGATTGACCCAGTAAAGAACAAAAAACTGTCAGTAGAGCAGGCGGTGACTGAAGGCATTGTTGGAACAGAATGGAAAAACAAAATGCTGTCTGCAGAGCGGGCAGTTACTGGTTACACAGACCCCAACACAGGAAAAACAATCTCCTTGTTCCAGGCCTTAAAAAAAGATCTGATTGTTAAGGACCATGGTATTCGTCTTCTAGAAGCTCAGATTGCTACGGGGGGCATCATTGATCCTGTGCACAGCCATCGTGTCCCTGTGGAGGTGGCTTACCAAAGAGGGTACTTTGATGAGGAGATGAACAAGATCCTCTCTGATCCAGATGATGACACCAAGGGTTTCTTTGATCCCAACACACAGGAGAACCTCACATACTTGCAACTTGTGGAGAGGTGTGTTAAAGACCCCATCACTGGCCTGAGCCTCCTTGTGATCGTGAAAAAGGGAGAGTACTACTTTTTCATTGATGAATATACAAAGAATATCCTCAAGTCTGCAACCACAAACAAAGCAGGAGGTAAATTCCAAGGACAGCTGGTGACACTTTGGGATCTGTTGTATTCAAATTACATATCTGAGGAAAAGAGGAGAGAACTGGTGCAGCAGTTTAAGTCAGGTACAATAACTATTGAACAATTCTTAGAAATAGTTCTGACCTTAGTATCACAGAAATCAGGAACAAGCACCCACACAATTACTACCACCACCACAGCAACAACAGAGACAACCCAAAACAACACCTTCCAAGGTATCAGAAAGGATGTGAGTGCTGATGAGCTGTTGCTATCCAAAGTCATCGATGAGAAAATGTACAAAGACCTAACAACTGGAAAAGTCACAGTTGATCATGTGAGTGAAATAGACTCTGTGCGAAAATACCTGAAAGGGACAAACTGCATTGCTGGTGTATTTGTGCAGTCTACAAAACAGACCATGAGCATAACCGAAGCCAAAAATAAGGGACTTCTAACACCTGGAACGTCTTTGGTTTTACTTGAGGCCCAGGCTGCTACTGGCTTTATGATTGACCCAGTAAAGAACAAAAAACTGTCAGTAGAGCAGGCGGTGACTGAAGGGATTGTTGGAACAGAATGGAAAAGCAAACTGCTGTCTGCAGAGCGGGCAGTTACTGGTTACACAGACCCCAACACGGGAAAAACAATCTCCTTGTTCCAGGCCTTAAAAAAAGATCTGATTGTCAAGGACCATGGTATTCGTCTGCTAGAAGCTCAGATTGCTACGGGGGGCATCATTGATCCTGTGCACAGCCATCGTGTCCCTGTGGAGGTGGCTTACCAAAGAGGGTACTTTGATGAGGAGATGAACAAGGTCCTCTCTGATCCAGATGATGACACCAAGGGTTTCTTTGATCCCAACACACAGGAGAACCTCACATACTTGCAACTTGTGGAGAGGTGTGTTAAAGACCCCATCACTGGCCTGAGCCTCCTTGTGATCGTGAAAAAGGGAGAGTACTACTTTTTCATTGATGAACATACAAAGAATATCCTCAAGTCTGCAACCACAAACAAAGCAGGAGGTAAATTCCAAGGACAGCTGGTGACACTTTGGGATCTGTTGTATTCAAATTACATATCTGAGGAAAAGAGGAGAGAACTGGTGCAGCAGTTTAAGTCAGGTACAATAACTATTGAACAATTCTTAGAAATAGTTCTGACCTTAGTATCACAGAAATCAGGAACAAGCACCCACACAATTACTACCACCACCACAGCAACAACAGAGACAACCCAAAACAACACCTTCCAAGGTATCAGAAAGGATGTGAGTGCTGATGAGCTGTTGCTATCCAAAGTCATCGATGAGAAAATGTACAAAGACCTAACAACTGGAAAAGTCACAGTTGATCATGTGAGTGAAATAGACTCTGTGCGAAAATACCTGAAAGGGACAAACTGCATTGCTGGTGTATTTGTGCAGTCTACAAAACAGACCATGAGCATAACCGAAGCCAAAAATAAGGGACTTCTAACACCTGGAACGTCTTTGGTTTTACTTGAGGCCCAGGCTGCTACTGGCTTTATGATTGACCCAGTAAAGAACAAAAAACTGTCAGTAGAGCAGGCGGTGACTGAAGGGATTGTTGGAACAGAATGGAAAAGCAAACTGCTGTCTGCAGAGCGGGCAGTTACTGGTTACACAGACCCCAACACGGGAAAAACAATCTCCTTGTTCCAGGCCTTAAAAAAAGATCTGATTGTCAAGGACCATGGTATTCGTCTGCTAGAAGCTCAGATTGCTACAGGGGGCATCATTGATCCTGTGCACAGCCATCGTGTCCCTGTGGAGGTGGCTTACCAAAGAGGGTACTTTGATGAGGAGCTGAACAAGGTCCTCTCTGATCCAGATGATGACACCAAGGGTTTCTTTGATCCCAACACACAGGAGAACCTCACATACTTGCAACTTGTGGAGAGGTGTGTTAAAGACCCCATCACTGGCCTGAGCCTCCTTGTGATCGTGAAAAAGGGAGAGTACTACTTTTTCATTGATGAACATACAAAGAATATCCTCAAGTCTGCAACCACAAACAAAGCAGGAGGTAAATTCCAAGGACAGCTGGTGACACTTTGGGATCTGTTGTATTCAAATTACATATCTGAGGAAAAGAGGAGAGAACTGGTGCTGCAGTTTAAGTCAGGTACAATAACTATTGAACAATTCTTAGAAATAGTTCTGACCTTAGTATCACAGAAATCAGGAACAAGCACCCACACAATTACTACCACCACCACAGCAACAACAGAGACAACCCAAAACAACACCTTCCAAGGTATCAGAAAGGATGTGAGTGCTGATGAGCTGTTGCTATCCAAAGTCATCGATGAGAAAATGTACAAAGACCTAACAACTGGAAAAGTCACAGTTGATCATGTGAGTGAAATAGACTCTGTGCGAAAATACCTGAAAGGGACAAACTGCATTGCTGGTGTATTTGTGCAGTCTACAAAACAGACCATGAGCATAACCGAAGCCAAAAATAAGGGACTTCTAACACCTGGAACGTCTTTGGTTTTACTTGAGGCCCAGGCTGCTACTGGCTTTATGATTGACCCAGTAAAGAACAAAAAACTGTCAGTAGAGCAGGCGGTGACTGAAGGGATTGTTGGAACAGAATGGAAAAGCAAACTGCTGTCTGCAGAGCGGGCAGTTACTGGTTACACAGACCCCAACACGGGAAAAACAATCTCCTTGTTCCAGGCCTTAAAAAAAGATCTGATTGTCAAGGACCATGGTATTCGTCTGCTAGAAGCTCAGATTGCTACGGGGGGCATCATTGATCCTGTGCACAGCCATCGTGTCCCTGTGGAGGTGGCTTACCAAAGAGGGTACTTTGATGAGGAGATGAACAAGGTCCTCTCTGATCCAGATGATGACACCAAGGGTTTCTTTGATCCCAACACACAGGAGAACCTCACATACTTGCAACTTGTGGAGAGGTGTGTTAAAGACCCCATCACTGGCCTGAGCCTCCTTGTGATCGTGAAAAAGGGAGAGTACTACTTTTTCATTGATGAATATACAAAGAATATCCTCAAGTCTGCAACCACAAACAAAGCAGGAGGTAAATTCCAAGGACAGCTGGTGACACTTTGGGATCTGTTGTATTCAAATTACATATCTGAGGAAAAGAGGAGAGAACTGGTGCAGCAGTTTAAGTCAGGTACAATAACTATTGAACAATTCTTAGAAATAGTTCTGACCTTAGTATCACAGAAATCAGGAACAAGCACCCACACAATTACTACCACCACCACAGCAACAACAGAGACAACCCAAAACAACACCTTCCAAGGTATCAGAAAGGATGTGAGTGCTGATGAGCTGTTGCTATCCAAAGTCATCGATGAGAAAATGTACAAAGACCTAACAACTGGAAAAGTCACAGTTGATCATGTGAGTGAAATAGACTCTGTGCGAAAATACCTGAAAGGGACAAACTGCATTGCTGGTGTATTTGTGCAGTCTACAAAACAGACCATGAGCATAACCGAAGCCAAAAATAAGGGACTTCTAACACCTGGAACGTCTTTGGTTTTACTTGAGGCCCAGGCTGCTACTGGCTTTATGATTGACCCAGTAAAGAACAAAAAACTGTCAGTAGAGCAGGCGGTGACTGAAGGGATTGTTGGAACAGAATGGAAAAGCAAACTGCTGTCTGCAGAGCGGGCAGTTACTGGTTACACAGACCCCAACACGGGAAAAACAATCTCCTTGTTCCAGGCCTTAAAAAAAGATCTGATTGTCAAGGACCATGGTATTCGTCTGCTAGAAGCTCAGATTGCTACGGGGGGCATCATTGATCCTGTGCACAGCCATCGTGTCCCTGTGGAGGTGGCTTACCAAAGAGGGTACTTTGATGAGGAGATGAACAAGGTCCTCTCTGATCCAGATGATGACACCAAGGGTTTCTTTGATCCCAACACACAGGAGAACCTCACATACTTGCAACTTGTGGAGAGGTGTGTTAAAGACCCCATCACTGGCCTGAGCCTCCTTGTGATCGTGAAAAAGGGAGAGTACTACTTTTTCATTGATGAACATACAAAGAATATCCTCAAGTCTGCAACCACAAACAAAGCAGGAGGTAAATTCCAAGGACAGCTGGTGACACTTTGGGATCTGTTGTATTCAAATTACATATCTGAGGAAAAGAGGAGAGAACTGGTGCAGCAGTTTAAGTCAGGTACAATAACTATTGAACAATTCTTAGAAATAGTTCTGACCTTAGTATCACAGAAATCAGGAACAAGCACCCACACAATTACTACCACCACCACAGCAACAACAGAGACAACCCAAAACAACACCTTCCAAGGTATCAGAAAGGATGTGAGTGCTGATGAGCTGTTGCTATCCAAAGTCATCGATGAGAAAATGTACAAAGACCTAACAACTGGAAAAGTCACAGTTGATCATGTGAGTGAAATAGACTCTGTGCGAAAATACCTGAAAGGGACAAACTGCATTGCTGGTGTATTTGTGCAGTCTACAAAACAGACCATGAGCATAACCGAAGCCAAAAATAAGGGACTTCTAACACCTGGAACGTCTTTGGTTTTACTTGAGGCCCAGGCTGCTACTGGCTTTATGATTGACCCAGTAAAGAACAAAAAACTGTCAGTAGAGCAGGCGGTGACTGAAGGCATTGTTGGAACAGAATGGAAAAACAAAATGCTGTCTGCAGAGCGGGCAGTTACTGGTTACACAGACCCCAACACGGGAAAAACAATCTCCTTGTTCCAGGCCTTAAAAAAAGATCTGATTGTCAAGGACCATGGTATTCGTCTGCTAGAAGCTCAGATTGCTACGGGGGGCATCATTGATCCTGTGCACAGCCATCGTGTCCCTGTGGAGGTGGCTTACCAAAGAGGGTACTTTGATGAGGAGATGAACAAGGTCCTCTCTGATCCAGATGATGACACCAAGGGTTTCTTTGATCCCAACACACAGGAGAACCTCACATACTTGCAACTTGTGGAGAGGTGTGTTAAAGACCCCATCACTGGCCTGAGCCTCCTTGTGATCGTGAAAAAGGGAGAGTACTACTTTTTCATTGATGAATATACAAAGAATATCCTCAAGTCTGCAACCACAAACAAAGCAGGAGGTAAATTCCAAGGACAGCTGGTGACACTTTGGGATCTGTTGTATTCAAATTACATATCTGAGGAAAAGAGGAGAGAACTGGTGCAGCAGTTTAAGTCAGGTACAATAACTATTGAACAATTCTTAGAAATAGTTCTGACCTTAGTATCACAGAAATCAGGAACAAGCACCCACACAATTACTACCACCACCACAGCAACAACAGAGACAACCCAAAACAACACCTTCCAAGGTATCAGAAAGGATGTGAGTGCTGATGAGCTGTTGCTATCCAAAGTCATCGATGAGAAAATGTACAAAGACCTAACAACTGGAAAAGTCACAGTTGATCATGTGAGTGAAATAGACTCTGTGCGAAAATACCTGAAAGGGACAAACTGCATTGCTGGTGTATTTGTGCAGTCTACCAAACAGACCATGAGCATAACCGAAGCCAAAAATAAGGGGCTTCTAACACCTGGAACGTCTTTGGTTTTACTTGAGGCCCAGGCTGCTACTGGCTTTATGATTGACCCAGTAAAGAACAAAAAACTGTCAGTAGAGCAGGCGGTGACTGAAGGGATTGTTGGAACAGAATGGAAAAGCAAACTGCTGTCTGCAGAGCGGGCAGTTACTGGTTACACAGACCCCAACACGGGAAAAACAATCTCCTTGTTCCAGGCCTTAAAAAAAGATCTGATTGTCAAGGACCATGGTATTCGTCTGCTAGAAGCTCAGATTGCTACAGGGGGCATCATTGATCCTGTGCACAGCCATCGTGTCCCTGTGGAGGTGGCTTACCAAAGAGGGTACTTTGATGAGGAGATGAACAAGGTCCTCTCTGATCCAGATGATGACACCAAGGGTTTCTTTGATCCCAACACACAGGAGAACCTCACATACTTGCAACTTGTGGAGAGGTGTGTTAAAGACCCCATCACTGGCCTGAGCCTCCTTGTGATCGTGAAAAAGGGAGAGTACTACTTTTTCATTGATGAATATACAAAGAATATCCTCAAGTCTGCAACCACAAACAAAGCAGGAGGTAAATTCCAAGGACAGCTGGTGACACTTTGGGATCTGTTGTATTCAAATTACATATCTGAGGAAAAGAGGAGAGAACTGGTGCAGCAGTTTAAGTCAGGTACAATAACTATTGAACAATTCTTAGAAATAGTTCTGACCTTAGTATCACAGAAATCAGGAACAAGCACCCACACAATTACTACCACCACCACAGCAACAACAGAGACAACCCAAAACAACACCTTCCAAGGTATCAGAAAGGATGTGAGTGCTGATGAGCTGTTGCTATCCAAAGTCATCGATGAGAAAATGTACAAAGACCTAACAACTGGAAAAGTCACAGTTGATCATGTGAGTGAAATAGACTCTGTGCGAAAATACCTGAAAGGGACAAACTGCATTGCTGGTGTATTTGTGCAGTCTACCAAACAGACCATGAGCATAACCGAAGCCAAAAATAAGGGACTTCTAACACCTGGAACGTCTTTGGTTTTACTTGAGGCCCAGGCTGCCACTGGCTTTATGATTGACCCAGTAAAGAACAAAAAACTGTCAGTAGAGCAGGCGGTGACTGAAGGGATTGTTGGAACAGAATGGAAAAGCAAACTGCTGTCTGCAGAGCGGGCAGTTACTGGTTACACAGACCCCAACACGGGAAAAACAATCTCCTTGTTCCAGGCCTTAAAAAAAGATCTGATTGTCAAGGACCATGGTATTCGTCTTCTAGAAGCTCAGATTGCTACGGGGGGCATCATTGATCCTGTGCACAGCCATCGTGTCCCTGTGGAGGTGGCTTACCAAAGAGGGTACTTTGATGAGGAGATGAACAAGATCCTCTCTGATCCAGATGATGACACCAAGGGTTTCTTTGATCCCAACACACAGGAGAACCTCACATACTTGCAACTTGTGGAGAGGTGTGTTAAAGACCCCATCACTGGCCTGAGCCTCCTTGTGATCGTGAAAAAGGGAGAGTACTACTTTTTCATTGATGAACATACAAAGAATATCCTCAAGTCTGCAACCACAAACAAAGCAGGAGGTAAATTCCAAGGACAGCTGGTGACACTTTGGGATCTGTTGTATTCAAATTACATATCTGAGGAAAAGAGGAGAGAACTGGTGCAGCAGTTTAAGTCAGGTACAATAACTATTGAACAATTCTTAGAAATAGTTCTGACCTTAGTATCACAGAAATCAGGAACAAGCACCCACACAATTACTACCACCACCACAGCAACAACAGAGACAACCCAAAACAACACCTTCCAAGGTATCAGAAAGGATGTGAGTGCTGATGAGCTGTTGCTATCCAAAGTCATCGATGAGAAAATGTACAAAGACCTAACAACTGGAAAAGTCACAGTTGATCATGTGAGTGAAATAGACTCTGTGCGAAAATACCTGAAAGGGACAAACTGCATTGCTGGTGTATTTGTGCAGTCTACAAAACAGACCATGAGCATAACCGAAGCCAAAAATAAGGGACTTCTAACACCTGGAACGTCTTTGGTTTTACTTGAGGCCCAGGCTGCTACTGGCTTTATGATTGACCCAGTAAAGAACAAAAAACTGTCAGTAGAGCAGGCGGTGACTGAAGGGATTGTTGGAACAGAATGGAAAAGCAAACTGCTGTCTGCAGAGCGGGCAGTTACTGGTTACACAGACCCCAACACGGGAAAAACAATCTCCTTGTTCCAGGCCTTAAAAAAAGATCTGATTGTCAAGGACCATGGTATTCGTCTGCTAGAAGCTCAGATTGCTACGGGGGGCATCATTGATCCTGTGCACAGCCATCGTGTCCCTGTGGAGGTGGCTTACCAAAGAGGGTACTTTGATGAGGAGATGAACAAGGTCCTCTCTGATCCAGATGATGACACCAAGGGTTTCTTTGATCCCAACACACAGGAGAACCTCACATACTTGCAACTTGTGGAGAGGTGTGTTAAAGACCCCATCACTGGCCTGAGCCTCCTTGTGATCGTGAAAAAGGGAGAGTACTACTTTTTCATTGATGAATATACAAAGAATATCCTCAAGTCTGCAACCACAAACAAAGCAGGAGGTAAATTCCAAGGACAGCTGGTGACACTTTGGGATCTGTTGTATTCAAATTACATATCTGAGGAAAAGAGGAGAGAACTGGTGCAGCAGTTTAAGTCAGGTACAATAACTATTGAACAATTCTTAGAAATAGTTCTGACCTTAGTATCACAGAAATCAGGAACAAGCACCCACACAATTACTACCACCACCACAGCAACAACAGAGACAACCCAAAACAACACCTTCCAAGGTATCAGAAAGGATGTGAGTGCTGATGAGCTGTTGCTATCCAAAGTCATCGATGAGAAAATGTACAAAGACCTAACAACTGGAAAAGTCACAGTTGATCATGTGAGTGAAATAGACTCTGTGCGAAAATACCTGAAAGGGACAAACTGCATTGCTGGTGTATTTGTGCAGTCTACCAAACAGACCATGAGCATAACCGAAGCCAAAAATAAGGGGCTTCTAACACCTGGAACGTCTTTGGTTTTACTTGAGGCCCAGGCTGCTACTGGCTTTATGATTGACCCAGTAAAGAACAAAAAACTGTCAGTAGAGCAGGCGGTGACTGAAGGGATTGTTGGAACAGAATGGAAAAGCAAACTGCTGTCTGCAGAGCGGGCAGTTACTGGTTACACAGACCCCAACACGGGAAAAACAATCTCCTTGTTCCAGGCCTTAAAAAAAGATCTGATTGTTAAGGACCATGGTATTCGTCTTCTAGAAGCTCAGATTGCTACGGGGGGCATCATTGATCCTGTGCACAGCCATCGTGTCCCTGTGGAGGTGGCTTACCAAAGAGGGTACTTTGATGAGGAGATGAACAAGATCCTCTCTGATCCAGATGATGACACCAAGGGTTTCTTTGATCCCAACACACAGGAGAACCTCACATACTTGCAACTTGTGGAGAGGTGTGTTAAAGACCCCATCACTGGCCTGAGCCTGCTTGTGATCGTGAAAAAGGGAGAGTACTACTTTTTCATTGATGAACATACAAAGAATATCCTCAAGTCTGCAACCACAAACAAAGCAGGAGGTAAATTCCAAGGACAGCTGGTGACACTTTGGGATCTGTTGTATTCAAATTACATTTCTGAGGAAAAGAGGAGAGAACTGGTGCAGCAGTTTAAGTCAGGTACAATAACTATTGAACAATTCTTAGAAATAGTTCTGACCTTAGTATCACAGAAATCAGGAACAAGCACCCACACAATTACTACCACCACCACAGCAACAACAGAGACAACCCAAAACAACACCTTCCAAGGTATCAGAAAGGATGTGAGTGCTGATGAGCTGTTGCTATCCAAAGTCATCGATGAGAAAATGTACAAAGACCTAACAACTGGAAAAGTCACAGTTGATCATGTGAGTGAAATAGACTCTGTGCGAAAATACCTGAAAGGGACAAACTGCATTGCTGGTGTATTTGTGCAGTCTACCAAACAGACCATGAGCATAACCGAAGCCAAAAATAAGGGACTTCTAACACCTGGAACGTCTTTGGTTTTACTTGAGGCCCAGGCTGCTACTGGCTTTATGATTGACCCAGTAAAGAACAAAAAACTGTCAGTAGAGCAGGCGGTGACTGAAGGGATTGTTGGAACAGAATGGAAAAGCAAACTGCTGTCTGCAGAGCGGGCAGTTACTGGTTACACAGACCCCAACACAGGAAAAACAATCTCCTTGTTCCAGGCCTTAAAAAAAGACCTGATTGTCAAGGACCATGGTATTCGTCTGCTAGAAGCTCAGATTGCTACGGGGGGCATCATTGATCCTGTGCACAGCCATCGTGTCCCTGTGGAGGTGGCTTACCAAAGAGGGTACTTTGATGAGGAGATGAACAAGATCCTCTCTGATCCAGATGATGACACCAAGGGTTTCTTTGATCCCAACACACAGGAGAACCTCACATACTTGCAACTTGTGGAGAGGTGTGTTAAAGACCCCATCACTGGCCTGAGCCTCCTTGTGATTGTGAAAAAGGGAGAGTACTACTTTTTCATTGATGAACATACAAAGAATATCCTCAAGTCTGCAACCACAAACAAAGCAGGAGGTAAATTCCAAGGACAGCTGGTGACACTTTGGGATCTGTTGTATTCAAATTACATATCTGAGGAAAAGAGGAGAGAACTGGTGCAGCAGTTTAAGTCAGGTACAATAACTATTGAACAATTCTTAGAAATAGTTCTGACCTTAGTATCACAGAAATCAGGAACAAGCACCCACACAATTACTACCACCACCACCACAGCAACAACAGAGACAACCCAAAACAACACCTTCCAAGGTATCAGAAAGGATGTGAGTGCTGATGAGCTGTTGCTATCCAAAGTCATCGATGAGAAAATGTACAAAGACCTAACAACTGGAAAAGTCACAGTTGATCATGTAAGTGAAATAGACTCTGTGCGAAAATACCTGAAAGGGACAAACTGCATTGCTGGTGTATTTGTGCAGTCTACCAAACAGACCATGAGCATAACCGAAGCCAAAAATAAGAGACTTCTAACTCCTGGAACGTCTTTGGTTTTACTTGAGGCCCAGGCTGCTACTGGCTTTATGATTGACCCAGTAAAGAACAAAAAACTGTCAGTAGAGCAGGCGGTGACTGAAGGGATTGTTGGAACAGAATGGAAAAGCAAACTGCTGTCTGCAGAGCGGGCAGTTACTGGTTACACAGACCCCAACACAGGAAAAACAATCTCCTTGTTCCAGGCCTTAAAAAAAGATCTGATTGTCAAGGACCATGGTATTCGTCTGCTAGAAGCTCAGATTGCTACGGGGGGCATCATTGATCCTGTGCACAGCCATCGTGTCCCTGTGGAGGTGGCTTACCAAAGAGGGTACTTTGATGAGGAGATGAACAAGATCCTCTCTGATCCAGATGATGACACCAAGGGTTTCTTTGATCCCAACACACAAGAGAACCTCACATACATGCAATTAATGGAGAGGTGTGTTAGAGACCCAAAGACTGGGCTGAGTCTGCTTGCTTTACAAAAGTAGAGTTAAGATTGGATGAGATATGCCATGCAAACTATTCATGCTTTATTAAATACAATCATACTTATCTCTTACTTTTTATTCCATTTGCAAATCTGTAAGTGTATCATTTAAGTGTATACCATTTCAGTTTCAGTGTGCATTGTTTATATTAGAGGTTAAGATAACTTCTCTTTCTAGTTTTACACTTTTAAACTGCAACATAGTATGTCAGTGTTTTGTTTAATACACTGCTTTCTGCTTTCTGGCTACATGTTCAAAACAATACAAATAAACTTAAAGCTGCAACATGTTATTATATTTCATAATTCTCAAGTCAGTAATCTCTTTCATTATAAAGATTGTGTTTTTATTGAAGATGACTTGTTTACATTGTCATAATTTCACAACATTTGACATTTATTGTATTTCAGCACATAAACATGTTTTGGACAGTAAAGATACACAAATATAAATGGGTTCTTTACTGGTAAGTCTAACTTTACATGAGAAAAGGCTTTATAGTTATATACAAATCACAAGTTACACACACACACCACATTAAAGTACATGTTAAAAACAACTGAATGAACTAAATGAACTATTAAAGTTCAGACAATAAATAGGCTCCATGTTCAGCCTAATTTGTCCAGGAGAAGCTGAATGTCTTCTTGACCATGATATACTCTTTTGAGCCCTCTGGGCAGATACCGGCAAGACGATAGATTCAAGTACTTCAGAGCTGGTGCCTGGGTTATCAGTAACCTATGAAACAATAATAAATGGTAACAGTCTTCTGGCAGGCACTATAAGCATATGAGCAACTACAAAGGTAATCCTTACCTGAGTGAAGATGAAGTGATTTTTGTACCACTGAGGTTCAGGGAGCGAAACAAGTCGACTCCAGCAGCATGTGCAAGATATCCCATGGCAATCTCCATATCTTCCTCAGAAAATGGCTGGTTGGCCAAATCAAGCTCCCTGAGGGTGCTGCTCCATTTCTGGGCAAGCATGTGTATGCCTTTCTTGGATGCTACCATTGTATTGCTACTGAAGTACAGGCCCCAATATAGACACTCCAGTTCTACACAAGACAGGGCAAAAAAAATAAGGGAAAAGCAGCATATTATTGTATCCCTAAAATTCATAGGTATGATCAAATCCTTTTATACTGTAAACTCCATCAAACGTCCAGCACACCATGTGCTATTCATGTTAACTATTACATTCACTACTGTTTGAGGTGCTTACTCTCGTTAATTCAAAATTGAAACTTACTCTCAAAAGGCAGAGCATAGAGACCAGTGGCTGTGATGCGGGAGGCACCACGCAGGTCTAGCACACGCAGGTGGGGGGAGCCATGCAGCACATTGTTCAGGTCACTGTCCGTCATGAAAGAGTGAGAGGAAGTGGCAATGCACAGCTCCTCTAGCATGGGAAAACCGGACGTTGAACTGGGTGTGTTGCGGATCATTTTAGGAACTGGAGTGACATTCATCAATCTAAAAGTCTAAATTATAAAATAATTTAAAAGAGAAGTAAAAAATAAGATTGTAATATTTTATATTTGTAGTACAATTTTTATAAATTTTCATTCTACATCACCATTAATAACACTTAGAGCAGGGATGGGCAGCTCGTGTCCTGGAGGGTTACTCTCTTGCGGAGTTAAGCTAGCTTTTTTTTAAGTAATCCTGAAGAAATTAGCCGCGTTTCCACTGCCGGGCCAGGGCCGAGCTGTGCTAGTGCGTGCCAAGGCCAGTCACGTTTCCACTGTCACTTCCGGGGCTTGATCCGGGTGCAGTATTGTACACGGTGATTAAAATGCACAATGGCTATTTTTCCAGGATTTTTCCATGGATCGACTTGATGGACGGTGCGCTGGGTCACTGTCCCTCTGTTAGTGGCGACTCGCGAGACCAATCGGGACACTATTACAGCCACGGCCGGTGAGTTAATATACTATCTTCCTAACTTAAAAAATAAATTAATAGAATAGAATAGAATGTTTATTTATAAAGCACATTTAAAAACAACCGAGGTTGACCAAAGTGCTGTACACAAGCTGTAAAATAGATGCAACACATAAAAATAAAATCCTGAAACAGCAAATCAAGGTATAATTAAAACGCCAAAGAAAATAAATGGGTCTTGAGGGAGGACTTAAAAGTATAAGTTGTGGCAGTTCTAATATGAACCGGGAGAGTGTTCCATCATTTGGGGCAGATGACAGAGAAGGCACGATAACCTCTATTTTTTAATCTTGTCCTGTGGACTTGCAATAGTCCGGAGTTTGCGGATCAAGTGACCTTGACTGAACGTAGGGGTGTAGCAAATCTGTTAAATACTGTGGTGTCTCATTACAAATGGATTTAAAAACAAACAATAGAATTTTGAAATCAATTCTATATTTGATCGGCAGCCAATGTAGTGAGATCAATACTGGCGTGACAGAATCATATTACGTTTCCCGTAGAGAAGCCGAGCCGCTGCATTCTGAACTAATTGTAGACGTGAAACACAAGCCGATATACACAGAATTACAGTAGTCCAGTCGAGATGTTACGAAAGCATACATAACTATTTCAGATTAATTCATAATACCCGCTGAAATGGGTTGGGTTGTATGACGTTTGACCCAGTGTGTTAGGGGCGGGGTTTAGGGCAGCGCTGTGGGGCTACTGGCTCGGCAGTGGAAATGTTAGCTCTGGCCCAGCCCTAGCCCGGCAGTGGAAATGCGGCTATTGATTAGCTGGTTCAGGTATGTTTGCTTAGGGTTCGAGCTAAACTCAGGCTTTATTCAAATTAAATTAAATTATATTAACAGTATAGGCTGTTACCAATATACGTAATAATTTGCAGTGCGGAGGTGACACAGAAGTGGAATTCATTTACAGTAGTCAACATTTGAAGTGGATCGAAACCTTTCATCAAAGTTTGATAACTTTGATTAACTTTTTTCATTTACAATTACATAAATAATGCTATTAGATTTTTTTCTTCAATATTTAAATATGAAATGATTTCTAATTTTCAACTTAATTAAAAGGGACTTTAAATATGAAACTAAAACCACCAGTAGGTGGCGTATAACGATATAACAGTACACATTCCCAAGTATTTAGATATACAAAATGCCACCTTAAATTTCAGACCTCATGGAAATTTAACCCCTCCCTCAAATTTTAAAAAATGTAATGTAATACTTAATATGTGCAAATATTTTTGGAATGACAAACACTAACTGCACTCAATTGAGAAAACACAGCTATACATCAACTCTTGTGCACTTTCTTGTATATTGAATTGGTAAGTTTACATGAAGATCACAAAACATTTAAGTTTAATACCTGAAGTTTAGGGCATCCAATCTGCAAAGCCTGAATACAGATGGGAAGCTGGCAGTATCCTCCATCTAATTTAGTATTGATCTCCAGAAGCCTGAGCTCTGGACAACAACCTTTCTTTAAATTCAGAGACATTTCCCTCATTAGGAACTAACAAACATACAGTAACAACTTGAGTCACATTAAGTAAAAAGGATTAGTATTAACTTACAGACAACACACTGAGCAGTTTGTCACTTTTGGTGCTGTGTGTGAAGTAAATTTTCTTTATTTGGTTGCCGTACGCCTCAAGGAAGGACACCAGACCATCAACATTAAACTATATTAAAAAAGGATACAAAACAGGTAGCATGTTATGGTAACAAGAGGTAGCATATGGTAAACTAAAACAAGGGACTTGGAAAGGCAGATACATATGCACAAGACTTCATGGATATTTTCGGAGAACTGGTTTTAGGAGAATTTTGCACTTTATCAACACAATATAGAGTGGTCACTGCGACGGAGTGCGCAGCACCGCTTTAAGTCAAACACACCAATTTAAATTCGTCACTACCAGGTGTAAATAGCAATGTGTTTTGACTGACCACTCGAGAATGGATCATCTGCAGTAGCGTTGTTAAACACCACGCAATCGCTGTCCAAACAATTAATTCAGTTGATGATCGCTGTTACAAAAGTGCTGTTGATCTCATTTATTATTACATATGGACATTGCTTCTGTTATCAAATTTAGAATTCTACAAATATTGTTTGCTGATCAACGTTTATATGTGAATAAGCCTAAATTAAATCTTCTCGTCATTAAAAACAATTGTCTCTCCTCTTGGACTAAACTTCAATATCAATTCAAATATATCAAATATCAAACTTCAATATCAAAATCAATTCATGATTTTAAGCATCAGAGTTACAGTATGGGTTTATAGACTTTCAATGGAGGGACAGAAACTCCCAGATTTCATTAAAATAGGCTATCTTCACATTTGTGTCTTGAAAATGCACAAAAGTCATATGGGTTTGGAATGACATGAGGTTGAATAAATGATAGTATTTTAATCTTTAGGTGAACTAACTAACACTAACCAAATCGGTGTGCGCGTTTTGACACTGAGCCAGAGATGCTTGTCATATGTCATATATAACTGTGCAGTTTTTTTGTAAAATACACACTGATGTGATGTCTATGGAAGCGACAATTAAAACTCTTTTAATTTGACATGTTTTATTCATGTCAGAAATACATTGTGTCATTTTAAATATAAGACAATGAACAAAATTAAGACTCTTGATGAATCCAAAACCAAGAAGGTTTATATCTTAAAGCTTAAGGGAGTAGGTAATAAAGTGTAGACAATTATTGTTATGCAGTGTAAAATAAAATAATTTCTCACTTAATTCTTTTAAAAATGACTGTTTGTGCAATTCAGAGTAAAATTATGCAAAGTAACGTTACGTAATGTCCCAACTACTCCCCAGAGTGAGGTGTAGGGATCCTGACTTTGCTTAGGGCCCCCAAAACGGTAAACCCACCCCTAAACAACTGAATTAATACCAGGTGTAAAATTATTTGTGTCTATACTGAGAATACAGGCCACTCTTTTCCATGCAACTACAGTGACAGAAGCTTTAAGCTTTTCAAATATGCAAAAAAAAAGGATCATGAAGTAGTCCGTATGACATTATTTATACCTAAATATCCTCTTTTCTGTTTCACAGGAGAAAGTAAGCAAAATTTTCATTTTGGGGTAAGAGACCCTTTAAATCTAGGTAAAGAATCATGTAATTACATACAAACCTCTGAGTGTTGCACATTTATATTCTCCAATGAACGACAGTCAGCGCCAAGGCTTTGGAAAGCTGTTTCTGTCATTCCCGTGCAGTAAGACAGCTTGAGCGAATGAAGATTGTGGCATGATTGTGAAACTTTCTAGAAAATCAGAGCACAGTCCCTGATTACACAATACAGAACAACACTCCCAAAACATTTTTAGAAACAGATTTAGATACCAGAAACAAAATTCCAAAGCA